TACTGACTTTTTAGGACCAGAAGGTTATCTCCCCTAAATACCGGCTTATTTAAGTCTGGAAGACCTGTGAGATTGTTCACTTATGACATGCGTAGTACTAATAACAGTTACAATTTTGATAGCTTCCTCTGGGCACTTAAAATATACTAAACGTTGCATTTCTTGATGCCTTTCAGTGGTGTGACCTATGTGATTGCCTCTCCTCCTCTCCTACCCCTGCGAACTAAACACTAATTACTGCGCCGATTGCGTGATTTTGGATCGAATTTGTTACAAGTGGATCGCCAAGTTCGATCTTTATCAAAATGAGCGAAGACAGCCTGTTTGATGCCATCCCCTCCGAAGTGAGCCAGCACCTGGTTAAATTCTCAGAAGCTATTCAAAATTCTTGGGATATAATTGCTGACTACAGAGAATCCGTCAAGGGGGACAAGAGTGAGGTAAGGTCACTATCAATTTCTCCCTCTAAAACAGTCCCAGCTTTCAGTGATGCAACGTGTCCAGACAGACTTATCAATGGCTTACGCCATAAACGCGCTGTACTTTGGTTAGTCCATCAAATCGCCTTATTCAAATTTAGTTCACCTAAGGTGCAATGGTGTGGAGGTAAAGGACCATCCAATCCTAAAAGAACTGGTAAGTTTGTTGTAGTACCTTCATGCAAGCGCATGCTTGAGATAAATTTTCAACCATTTCCGGGGTTCGTTCTGTGATAGCTTGTCTTATGACCCTTACGCATTTCAGGTTGACTTCTGAAATGCGGCTTTCTGCTCCAGTGTTTCATCTTAAAATGCTAGCACCCGTCGAACGAAGTGAGCCAAAAAGTTCTGCTTTAAGGACTGTTTTATGACTGGCATTCGATTTATTCAGTCATTTGTTCCAAAAAGAACAAATCCTTTCGTCTGTCCTCTCTTGTGAACTTAGAATTTTTCGCAATTGGGTCCACTTAATTACCCACCTCTTCCAACGCCCTTTATCCCTACTAATTAAGTGTGCCTGGTAGTCATCTGCTGGATTCTAGATTGATTGTGTGGAAAATTCTGCTTGGGCAGAATACATTGCAGTAGACTGGGCGGGTAACTTGACCCACTTGTGATTAAACTCACGGCTTCTGATGGAGCCCCATGGCTCAGAGAGGTAGAGCATTGGCTTTATTGAAGTCTTTCCCCCTTGCTGTCGTGGGTTTGAACTTCACCGAGACCGACATGTTTTTCAAAATTGGGTCAAATGAATTATTTAAGTCCGCAAAACCCTCTATTACCTCAAGATTTTATGGAATTGTGGGACAATGCTGAAGATCTGATTGTACTAATCAGTAGTCGTCGTTACTTGTACTGTATTCCCATGTTGTTTATTCCTCCCGCTGACGTGCTCAGTGGCAGTTTGGGTCATCTATGCCCCACTCCTCTAGATAGACTACGCGAAACTACTCACTGATCGCAGTGGTGGCCGAACCTCTAGCTGACGATTTTTAACGGTTTATATCGCATGCATGACCCCTTTAATACGCGGTTCTTCAGCCGTTTTCCGGCTTAACTAAGTGGAAATCTGTTTTGTCGTAGGCATTAACTTTTCCGAAACATCCATAACCTTTCGGTTACATATTTACGAGCGTTACAACGTCTACTATCTAATATGTAGTAGACAATTTTGTTTTACATTTCTCATTTACGCCTGGGACCCTCCGCTTTTTTGTCTGGATTTAGACCATACCTATCTCCTTTGTCCACATCGGAAGTTTCTATCCATTGTTTAGCAGGCGTCGACACGTAATATTTTGCACGTTAACTGTAGTCAGCAAACTAGTCGACCTTCAAATGATACTTTCATGTGCCCGCATGCCACACAGATCGTGAGGGGACAATGGCCTGCCTGAAGAGGTAGTCTTCAGGTCGGCGCAGAGCGGTCCGAGTTATGCGGTTAGCGAACAGAACGGTTGCAATTGATCGGTTTCTTTAGTCAGCAACCCCTATGATGTTCAGTTGGGGAGAGCTGTCAGAGTGACAGGCTTGGATCATGGAAAACCTGCGTAGTTTATTAAATGCACAAACCGTATCATTATTCCAGCGGTCATATCTTCTACTTATTAAACCAGGTCTCACGATTCTGGAAATGTTTCGTTTACCTTCTGTTTGGTTCTCTTGTGGATCTAGAGCCGTTTACAATTTTTAACTGAGTCAAGCGAAGGCCGCACGCATACACAATGAGTCCGACCTTCTGCTGCACTTTTATTCCCCCAATTTGGCCAATGTTCAACCGAAAATAGCGGAGCGTTACTATCCACACAAGCTGGTCGATTCTGAAGGCAATCGCTTTGGATAACTGCGTGGTTTATAGAACGCCGCATATCGAATTAGTTAATACCGTAACGCAACCATCCTGGGTGCAGTTGAGCGGACAAAGACTTCCTCCCCTCTTAATGAAAGCTGTAGTCCTCACCTTCTGGACCGAATAGACTTGGGCAGTGTTTGCTGCTTCCTAGCAGCGTCGAACTTTTGATCTACTTGTAAGCCAACTGGGTATTCCCCCAAAAGTTCATCCATCGCTTCGATTGCTTATTCCACGGCTGCCAATCCGACCTGCTTTTCAATTTTCCCGATCTAAAGTGGCAAAATCAACGAGCCCATGGCTCAATAGTCAGAGCGTTAATCAACAGGTCGCGCGTTCGAGCCTCGGGTGGTACACCACCTGGGGTTGGGTATGACTGACTGAGAACGACAAATGAGCCCGAAATGGCCATTCCAGTTTCCCATGTCTTTGTCAAGAGTGTTCCACTCACAGATTAGCGTGCAATCAGGGTATTTTGAAAAATCCACCGTCGGAGTTTCTGCTCGTGATTCAATCCTCCTGGTAAATACCCCGGACAGTTGCGCAACCAGGTGCAGACTTCGCTTTCAAACATTGAAATTTCCTGTGATGTGACAGGTGTTCTTTGGACGTCTGTTCACGTTTTTTTTACATGCCATGCAAGACTTGCTAGCGCTTCCGCAACTGAGTTATTTCATTTACCTTTTTTTTCAATGTAGGAACGCATTACAGCTTGCTTGAGGCGTTGTCAGAATCTCTGTGAGAAGCAGTCCTCGAAGCGTATGCATCTTGACAAACAGGCCACGACCCGCTTTGTGCGTACTGCTCTCTGGCAGTCCGCCCAATCCAAAACTAAAAAACGAAGAATGGATTCCGAGAGCGCCGGACAGACTTGACGTTTCTGTGGTTTTGCTCTGTCTCTGTAAATAAATACATCAGAGTTTGTTCTTTGTCCTTTGACGTTTGGGCCAATTTCGGGACTTTGTCTACCGTTTTTTTTGACGGCTTGAATTTCAGTTGACTTTGTTTTGTCTCTTAGTAAAGAGCCTGTCGACGCTGTCGTCTAAGTAGTGTTGTATGACCATCGACTTCGATGAAGTCCAGCACGTGCTCAAGGGCAGAGGCGGTAAATGGAGCGCAATTATAGTGAAATAGACGCGCAACTGTCCACCTCACTTAAACCCTCCGCCGCATTAAACCGGTGACAAGACTGAAGTCGAGATGACCGAGCAGGCTTTGGGCGAAAGCCGTTTTCTCCAATGCAGCCTGAAACACCGCCTAAACTTAGCCTTTAATGACAGTAGCCTTTGCGCGGGTACTACTGCACTTTCTACCCTCACTTACCTGTAGAAGGTGTCTAGCCAGACTCTCGGAAGCCAGGGCTGGTACTACTACTACCACTACTGTTATTTCTTATACTACTAACTAGGGTGTAGCTGTGTGGTAGTTTTTGCTGGTACTATTACTAACTGTATTGCAAGTCGGAAGTGACGCTGATTAAAGTCAGCACTGGGTTCATATCCCCTCAATCTCAACATGGAGTGTAGTATTACTGGTGCTAGCCACTGCTAAGAGTCCTTACTCTAGTAATCCTACTTACTAAGACCAGCGGATATTATATTCTAGTAATATATTTCTATAATTTTCGCAATAGCTGACATGCATCCTATTTTTGCAAAAGGCATAACAAGTGCAAGTACATAACAAATTGGTATATGAGCTGACAGGCGTCATAAACTTCATCCGAGCTGATTTGTAAGATACCCGGCGAGCGTCCACGTGCGGTTGGAAAGTAAGAATCTCATCAATGACTTGCAGTGGACAGGCAATGTTCGTGTCCGTTCATTGAGGCGCCTACATGCCCTCACTATTGGGTGGCGGTCCTTGAAAGCCCCCTCGCTGCATAT